ACGTCTAAGGCAATCAGTGCCTGAACTGTTTGGTGGAAGAAAGCCAAACGTGGAAGCCTCAGCAGAGAGTACATAATTCTTGGGATCTTCTGGTATAAAGAATTAGTTCGCGTGGTTGTATTGAGTCACAAGACTGAGAAGAAGGTCAGAGTACAAGAATGTGAAGTTGGGGTTATAAAGGCGTCTGAACTTCTGAGTATTATTGTTCCAGGTGGAGCAATTGGTGTCAGAAGGAGTTTGATTCTAGGTGGAGCCGTGTTTTTTTTAGTGAGTATCTTGTATTGGTTCAGATTCTTCAAGCTTCAAAGAAGTATCTGATGGACCAAAGGAGAGTTTAACGGTTTATGGAGGCTACATATGTTTTGTGTGTGAGAAATTATCTCAGTGTTATCTCGCAATTGACTGAGTCTTGGTTGTGTGTCGAAAGTCTTCCTAATATTGGATGTTAGGCGGCGTGTTCTGTTTATTTAAACAGCGGTACACATTAAGGTCTCATGTTGGCTTTGTTTGAGGAGAGGTCAAAGGTCATTTTTGATTTCTGGTCTGAGGAGAAGATTGAGGTAGAATCAGTCGAAAGTTTTCACAAATCAAAATATGAGGGAGGCTCCAAAAGTTAAATGGGTTCAAGATTATGAAACATAGGAAGTTGGCAGAGTTTGTTCTGAAAGTCAGGATGTACACTAAGGTGTGAACTTGAGGTAAGGATTTTGAAGTTGCTCAGTAAATTCTCTAGAGAAGAAGCTGAAGGAGACCTGTAGCAGGTTTTGCTAGGGCTATCTCAGGAATGTTACTTCAAGAAAGGTCAATGTTTGTTATGCATCTAGCATGGAGACATATCATCTCAAGGCTGTAATTTGCAACTGGTAAAGGTCCTAGAAGGTTATGAATGCAGTGGATTTGAACTGTGTTTGTGAGACAACAACTTCAAGAGTTATGAGGTGTTTGGTTGCATCATTAAGAAGACTCATGAAGGAATCTTTCAGGAAAATACTTACTGGACAGTCAAGTGAAGATTCTACTGTATCAGAGGCACGGTTACAAGTGAGGTTGATGGTTGAGAGAGAGATTCCTGGTTGTAAGTGTGAGAATGGTTATGCATGTACCTAGCAAGGTGGAGTCTGCAAACTGGTTTGAAGTATTGCAGGGTAAATCTACAGCTGAAATGGCGTAATAGGGTTGTAAGATATGATTCAGGGGCTGTAAAGAGAAGTCTCAGGCACGTCACAAGTTTATGGGTGTGAGACAGGTTCAAAGAAGCAAGCAGTGGTTCAAATCGGTTAGTGAGATGGTTCTGTTGAAACAAAAGGGTTTGAAGAAGGTTGAGCAAAGATATTTGTTTCGAAAGTCGTCCTAGCTAGGTGGAGTTAGGCGGCGTGTTCTGTTGTTAGCAATGGCGGAGCAAAGTGATGCTTATAGTTCAGACAAGTAATTGTAAGCACAATCTCCAGTTAAAGGCGTTTGACGACAAACCGGGTGTTTGTTTGAGATTGTTTACAAGGGCTGAATCAAAGGGCTTCTGGTTTGAGGAAAAGAGGATTTAGGTTCAGTAGATTGGTTAAAGCTAGCATTGGAATCACATTTTGCAGAGGGACAAAAGTTTAATTCAATCACTGAAACATATTCATGGTTTTAAAAGAAGCTATGGAGCAGGCTGTGTGGTTGATAAGCTTATAGGCTATAAATCTTCTGGAGTTTTATGTTGTGTGTAATCAGTTGGTTCAAGCTACATGTTTTGGGTTCTAGTTTCGGTTCATGAGTTGGAATTCAAAGAATAGGAAGGGAATCAGATTATGCAGGAGGATAATTATTCTTTAGTTGCTTTAACTGGTGTTATGGCATTGGCACATGTCATAAACGGATATGTGTGACTGAAAGAAGATTGTGTAAGCCGAGCTATACTAGTTAAAAGTGAAAGCTTATGAGGTTTGTGCTGAGTTAACAGGTTAGAGGTGAATTAGCTTATGAGGTTTGTGTTGAGTTAACAGGTTAGAGGTGAATTAAACTTGTTAATGGTATTGCTGAGTGGTTACCTCAGGGTTACAGGTTATGGAAAGCAACAACGGAGGATCAATGAAGAAGTTAAGCTTTGCACAAGTCATGTCAAAGCTGGTTTGGTAACTTGATGGACATGGGAATGAAAATGGCTCGGGAAAGGCATGGTGATTCATATCACAACTGGAGTACATTGAATTTGTTGTCTAGTTCATTGATGGTTGTTCAGATGCTTGGAGTTTGGTAGCACAGGAAGTCTACAAGCTTGAATCAAGAGATGTTGACTAAGGTGTTTCAAAGAAATCAAGTGTCAGAATGTTTTGAAGTTGTTGAAGTTCTTCCAAGGTTAAGCGAAAGAGGCTGCTTGGTTTAGCAGTGTTATAGCTATCAAGAAGAGAAGGTGATGGACTGTCGCCAAAGGTGGAGATTTGTTGAATATTGGCTTAGTCCATAGGACCTTCAGGATGGGAGAGAGACTTTAAGTTTGAAGGTATAAAAGAGAGACTCTAATATGCTGAGAAGGTTCCGGTTTAATTGAAGAGGAAACTGGTAAGAGGTATGAACCAAACTGGTTTAGAGGATAACCTAATTTAGGAAAGCAGATCCATTTAAAAGGCTTGTATTGCCGTTTTATTGATCTTATCCTCTTCTTCCTCTTGCTAAGATAATCTCTCTAGCTGATCTCTCTCTATGTAAACTCTCTTGATAGTGGATGCAGTTGAAGGATATAGCTTCCCTCTCCTGAGATGTAGTTCTTCCACATTGGAAGGCGAACTCAGGGTGAACAAATACTTGTTGTTATGTGTCTTGTTCTTTATCAATTCATACAAGTGAGAGGTGTGAGAGATGAATACAGACGAGAGTAAATGTCTTCCACAAGACTAAAGAGTTAAACGAATTCTCAACAACGCCAACATCACACCTCTCCCCTGCGTTCCTATTCACACAATTCTACGTCTTTGTTCCAAATTAATAAATGAATGCAAGTGTAATCCTCTGTTGTTGTCACAGCTTTCGCCGCGAGGTGATATATTTTCACCAAATTTCACCTTTTCTTAGTGATATTTTTTAAAGAACCAAAACCAGACAGAGTTAAGAAAATTGGCATGGCCAAATGTGTTTTTTTCCTCCAGCCCTCAGAACTGTTTATTCCTATGGAATTTGGGTTCGCTAAATCTTACGGCAACATGATTTTTAATGGGCTTAAATAGATCATTGGTTTTGATTCAACTTTGTACTTAGTTTGTAAGTTGTATATACCCAACATTATAGCATACCAAATATCTAATTAAACTCAGCCAACATTATAGCTTCTCTTCATCAAGTTCCCATTTGTGGTTTTGTTAGATTCTGATTTGATCTCTCCACTGTGCAATTTTTTTTTTGTCATCACCTGATTATGTCCAGGGTTTAAATCTTTTTGGAATGCCCGAGTGGTTCACTTTGCGTCTGATGATGGAGCGTTAAATGGTGAAAACGATTGCACTTTGAAGGATTCACAAGTTCCAACTTCGTCCCGCTCAGGACTGTGATTGGTATGGCTAATAGTAA